CGAGTCCAAATTTTAAAAGTAAGGTTTTAAATTTATTTGAATTTCATCTATAATAACGTCACGTCACATCACTTGTCACTACTTTTTTTCCCCTGCCATGGTTGACCTAGAGAGCAAGACCGATAAGCTGATCTATCACAAATAATCATCCCGGGCCCAGGATAAACAGTGATTCATGGAAAAAAGAGACGAAGTTTTCAATGTCGTGCCCAATTGGTGTTTTTTTCTCTTTTTACTTCACCCGCCCAAAAACAAAGAAGAAGAGAAAATTGGTGAAAAAAACAAATAGATAAAACATTACATCCCTGTACTCCTATTCCAATGTCGTGAAACATTTTTAATTTCACATTTAATTTTTTTTTAATCATGGTACATCAAAAATCATTAAAATTAAAATTAATATTATTTTTATCTTCTAATTTTATTTAAAAGATCATTGAACGCTTTAAATTTAGTTATAGGTTAAACCTTCATTTAACATTAAAAACTTTCTTTCTCATCACCCTCACGTTGACTTATTATCTCTTCATAATTAGTAGGTTTTATGTAACATTAATTTTAATACTTTTATTATAAAATACTTAAATTGAGGGTGTACTCTGATCTTTCAAAAAAAAAATTGAGAAGGAAAAATAACTATTAATTTGATAAAAAATAATTTTTTTTAAAAGCTAAGACTCACTATTGATAAATAAATAGATTTTTTCTACATCGATGTGAAGGAGAAGAGAATCTTGAGTGTTGAAGGAAAAAATTAACTCATAATTAAATTAAAAATATTCGATAACATATCAAATAAAATTGATTGACAAGAATGACTATTGACCCTTAAAATTATATGACTTTAATTACTTTTGACGTGGGATGAGATGCATGCCTAGCCGGGTTTTTTTTGTTTTTTTTCTAATTCAATATTCAATGCCTCAAATGAGAATTATCGTACAGAACTGGAACATAGCGTGGCCACAATTTTGGCATTTCAAGCAGGTGCGGTTGAGTGTACTCTCATAAGGAAAAGACCCAAATGTACTGGAGTTGATCGAAATCTAACCATTAATCAACTAAACTAATTAACGTTGTAGTGCGTTCGGCCTTCATAACCTAAGTAAATGACACTTGAGTTTTAAGGTGATTAATTAATTTAAATTAAGTCTCAATAAATTTTAAAATGCCTATAAAATTCTTTAGTCTTTTAATAATAATAAGTCTTACAAGTATTTGTAAATAATTGTATGTTCTGTTGCAATTTTATTATGATATATTTACAATTTATTTTTAAAATTTTAATAGAGAACATAAATGTTCGTCTTTAACGTTGAGAAGTATTGAGTCTAATTGTTTTGGAAATTTGTAAATTTGGTTATCTATTTTACAATTTTATTATGATATATTTATAACTTATTTTTTTAATTTTAATAAAAAACATAAATATTCGTCTTTAATATTAAAACATATTAAGTCTTATGGTTTCAAGGATTTACAAGTTGGGTTTTTAATTTTGCAATTTCATTGTGATAAATTTATAATTTATGTTTTAAAATTTAATAGATAATACAAATATTCATATTTAATGTTAAAAAATATTAATCCTATTGTTTATTATTTATGTTATCTATTGGAAATAAAATATTAGAATTACTTAATTATAAAAATTTAATATTTAATTTTGCAGTTCACACGGCATGTTTGCCCTTATTGATAGGTCATTCATTTTTTAATTTCTTGTTGTTTATTTTTTAATCTTTTTAAAATTTAAAAAAATAATTTAAAAAATAAATTGCAAATGCATTATAATAAATTTGTAAAATTAGGAGTTGAACTTGCAGATTTTTGATAATGTTAGACTTACTACCATTAAAAGATCATAAGACTTTGTTGGCACTTTAAAATTGATTTGAACTTGACTTAAATTGATTGGTTATCTTAACACTTAACTATTATTCTCCTTTAAAAACAATGTGAAGTTTGATTTTTTTGACAATAATCTTTTACTTATTTGATAAATCATTTATACCAAACAAATGTATTAGTACTAAACCTAGAGAGGTTTGATATAGTTTAAATTTTTAAGGACTTCAATTGATTATTTAATTTTTAATAATTTTTTTTTACAGCATGAAAGTCAATTTATCTTATTAGAATCCAAACTTGAACTGTTAACCTCGGTCTAATAAAAAAATTAGTTTAAATTTTTTTTTCTCTTAACACAATATTTGTTTTCAATATTTAACAAACATGTAGTTTCATAAAATGTAAGGACTTCTTTACCTATCCATTCATTTAATTTATACTCTGTTTTCATTCCATCGCATTTCTTGTATTTGGTCAAGTGGATGGTTGGTTTCTAAAAAGTCATTTTTACAAATTAGTGTTATATCATTGTCAATGTCAGCCAAGCTTGTGTTTGGCATTGCGTTGAAAGTAGCATCGCTGGAAATTAGAATCCAATATTGAGCCATTAACCACGGTCCAATAAATAAATTACTTTAAATTTTTAGTTCTCTTCCCACAATATTGGTATTGGTTTTTAATATTTAACGAGCATAAAATTCCATATAAAAAGTATTTAGGGCTTATTTAGTTTTTCATTATTTTAATTTATATTATATTTTTATTCTGTTCCATTTCATTCCTGATATTTAATTAAGTGGATTGTTATGTTTAAAATGTTATTTTTAAAAATAATTGTTATATCATTGTTAACTAAACTTGTGCTTGGCATTGCGTTGAAAGTATTATTGCTAAAAATAATCAAATTTATTTTAGTTCCCTATTTTATCTTTTATTTTCAAATTATTGTTTACAATATAAATTATGTGATTAAATAATATTTGTTTTGGCAACAATGTAGTTTATCCGATACACTAACTTAACTAGTGACATTGACTTTAACTCATGGGTATGTAATTTTGTTAAATATCTTTAACATTCTTATTTAGGGGAATAAAAATTAGATGAGTGTAAGTTATGATTGAAATCTTTTAATTCCAAGAAAAAATAATTTTAATATTTCTATTTAATTAAAAAGTCACAAACTCACGATGATTAACAAAACATATAATGACGCTAGAACATTTTTTTTAAATATAATATAATAGCTTCCGTGCGTTACATATTGTAAAATGATGAGTTTTAACTTTTAACCCACACATTGATTTTTGTATTAAACACAGAGAATATTGACAATCACCCAGAAACAAATAATAACAAGCAACAACTAAAACATTTAAGTGCATGTTTGGATTGAGAAAAATAATTGATAAATCGATTAATGAAAAAAAAACCAAACATCAATCTTTTCAGTTAATCGATTGTTGGCGAAGACTCGATTTTTGTCCTAAGCTGTACTTGTGAGACTCTGTGAAAAAGCTGATGAAAAATATTGAAAAAAATTATAAAGAAACACAAAAAAAAGATACTAAATTTAATAAAAAATAAAATTAAATTCTCTCCTCTCCTCTCTCTATTTTTTTAATAAAATTCAAATTTTGAAGTCTAATAAAAATTGTTAATATAAGTTTTTGTCAACCATTACTCTTTACTTAGCACTAATTATTAAAAATAATTTAAATAAAATATTAATTGATAGAAAAATTAATTTAATTTAACTTAAAATTTAAGGTCATTGCAAATGTACAGAGAGAGAAAGAGATGCATCATTTATTATTATTATATTTTTTATATTGTCAAAATTTTAAGACAATTCTTAACATCTTCGTCTAATATGACTCATATTCATGATGTTATTAGAGATTTATTTATACATTATTATCTTTATTAATTATTATAAAATTAATGTTTGATATTTAATAATTATGTAAATTAAATTGTTTATATTAATATAATTTAAATTTTTATAATTAATTAGATATATAATTTAAATAATATATTTTTCTTAAATAAAATTTAACAAATTTAATAATATTATATACAAATATATTAATAATTTAATTTTGAAAAGCAATACCCTTTCTAGTAATTTATATAATTAAAATCGATTTTTACTAAATTATTCAAATATTTTTAATTATTTTAAAATTAATTTTTAAAAAATAATATCCAAACAGATTACATTATAATATAATTAATTATAATTAAAATTAGTCATATTAATCAATAATTTTTATAATAAATTATACTTAATTGAAATTCAAATGAGTTCTAAGTTATTTTTTGCAAATATATATAATATATGCATCAAAGAAAGGAAAGATGGCAATTTGAGACCCTAAGGTTGCTGATTATAATTATTAAATCTAAATATAAATTATTGAAATCCCTCATGATCCTTACTTATAATTTAAAAATATAAATAGTTTAAAATGATTTTAAAAAGTGACTTTAATAAATTTTTAAATGATTATTATATATTTCAAGTGCTATTAAAAAGTTTTAAAAGTAATATTTTAATTTTGTATTGGGGAAACAATTTATTTTTAATTATTGTTCATTAGTTTACCAACAGATATTAATAATATTCCCAATATTTTTTTTTTAATTTTTTAAGTGATCTCCCTATATCCTAATAAGTATAAAACTTTACAAGTAATTAAATTAATATTTATAAATAATTTTAATAAATTTTTAAGTGAATATTGTATATTTAGAAGTGCCATTGAAAAAATTTAAAAGTAAATTTTAATTTTATATTTAAAAAATTTATTTTTAATTATTATTTTTTAATTTTTTAGTTGATATCAATAACATTTTCATTTTATAATAATAATTTAAATAATATTATTTATTTATTTATTTTTTAAATTGAGAATATATTTATAAATTCATATACATTTTAAATTTTAAGTAAAGATTATAGTTTACAATTGATATTTTAATAATTTAAAATTGACATTAGAGATTTCCAATTGTCATTTTCCCCTAAAAAAATGACATGACGTGAAATAAAAACAGTTCATTATAACATTCAGGCCTTAATTAATAATTATTAGACTCTGTATAAATAGTTAATTTCCCCATCAAAATTCTCTGTCCATCAAATCTCAGCCCCTCCCGTCCGGTGTGGGTAGGTGTGTGTGTGCAGAGCCCAGACAAGTTAGCCAGAGTTTCCAGTTGCCACTACCGTCTTGGATTTTGCCGCCGATCACTCCTCGTCGCCGGCACCGGTAGGCACTTTCTCTTCCCTTCAATTCTTCTTTCGCATTCGATTCCAATCAATCTCCTGCCTCTGAGGCCTCTTTCTACAGTCCCCAGTAAGCGTCTTCTTCCATTTACTTTCTTGGTCTGAAATCTCTGTCTTCTTTCATGCCCTTTCGATCATATTCTTTTTCTTCATGGTTTTTATTTCTTGAGAGACCTACACGCGCAGGTTTTGTGCGGATTCATGTGTGTAAATTGGATTTATACATGAACTCAATTGATGGGACATAAAAAGCGAAACCCTGCCCCGCGTTCCAAACAATCGGCGGCGGCTTCTCCGGTGACACAATCTGCCATCGGCGGAGCCGCCAATGGCCCTGCCTCAGCCGAGTCCGAGTTGTGCAGGAGTTCTAATCACACTATTCAAAGCACGAGTAAGATCGAGCTGCCTCCTCACCCCGAGCCGTCGGCCTACTCCACTATCAAGCTTGAATGTGAACGAGCCCTCAATGCGCTCAGGCGTGGCAACCACACAAAGGCACTGAGGCTTATGAAGGAGTTATGCTCCAGACACGAGAGCTCCGCTTACTCGGCCTTGATTCACCGAGTTCAAGGTACCATCTGTGTCAAAGTGGCCTCAATTATTGATGATCCAAGTGCGAAGCAAAGACATTTGAAGCATGCTATTGAGTCTGCCCGAAAAGCCGCGGAGCAATCGCCCAGTTCTATTGAGTTCGCACATTTTTATGCAAATTTGTTATACGAGGCAGCGAATGATTCGACTGAATACGAGCAGGTGGTGAAGGAGTGTGAAAAAGCACTCGGGATTTCAAATCCAATTGATCCTGCGAAGGAGAGCTTGCAGGACGAGAGCCAGCAGAAAATATCAACTGCAGACGCCCGGATAGTACATGTTCAGAATGAGTTGCGGCAGCTAATTCAGAAGTCAAACATAGCTTCCTTGTCAACGTGGATGAAGAATCTTGGTAATGGGGAGGAGAAATTCCGTTTGATTCCGATAAGGAGGGCTACAGAGGACCCAATGGAGGTGAGGTTAGTTCAAGCTAGAAGGCCAAATGAGATAAAAAAGGTGACCAAGACACCTGAGGAGAGAAGAAAAGAAATTGAAGTTCGAGTGGCTGCTGCAAGGCTGCTGCAGCAAAAGTCAGAGTCACCCCAATCCCAGAACGAAGGGGACAGGGATGACAGGACATTGGATTCATCTTCAGGATCTGGGCAGAGGATAAGTGAGAGGCGGAAGTATGGACATGTCCGAAAAGCTGGCTCTACATCTGAAAGGAGAGATTGGGTACGTTTATATTGGAATTCGATGAGTATTGATTTGAAGAAGGAGTTTCTTAGGATTAGGATATGTGATCTCAAATCTCACTTTGGCTCTTCAAAGGATACTTTGCTGAATGACATAGTAGCAGAAGCTTTGTCGTATGCTGAGGCTAACAAAACGTGGAAATTCTGGCTTTGCTGCCGCTGTAGTGAGAAGTTTTCAGATTCAGAATCTCACATGCAGCATGTTGTGCAGGAACACCTGGGGAATCTCTTACCTAAAATGCAGAGACTTTTACCTCAAAATGTAGACAATGAATGGATTGAGATGATTCTTAGCTGTTCTTGGAAAGCTCTGGATGCCTCTGCTGCAGTCAAAATGCTTGAAAATCAAGCAAAATGCAAAGATTTTTCGTTTCCTGAGGATACCTATATTGATCATACTGAGGAGCACCATTATTGCTTTAAAGACGCTAATAATTCTTTACCTGAAAGGGGACATAGCCTTGCTACCTGTGCACCAAATATAAGTAATCATTGTAAATCTGAGGAAACTAATATTACAGAAGGTGTTGAAGTTGAACGGTCTGTAGCATATTCCCTTGCAGATGGTTGGCCATTGTCAGATGACTCTGAGCGTGCAAAACTTCTTGAGAAAATTCGTGCAGTTTTTGATATGCTTATTAGACACAAATGTCTTGCTGCTAGTCATCTTAGCAAGGTCATACAATTTGCCATGGATGAGATTCATGGACTTGCTGCTGGGTCTCAGCTTCTAAACCATGGTTTAGACCAGTCACCAACGTGCATATGCTTTTTAGGAGCCCATCAACTTAAGAAAATTCTCAAATTTTTGCAGGAACTATCACATACTTGTGGTTTGGGTAGATATGCTGATAAAAGTACTAGTCCCATGGATGATTTACACAATTCAAATCAAATTCCTGAGATTAAAGAGAAGATTGTTCTCAATGGAGATGCATCATGCCTTCTTCTAGATGAATGTTTAGTGCCTGCAGAAATCACTCCAGGTGCTACTAAGAGTGCTGCATTGGATGATGTAATTACCCCAACTTCTAATGACGTAGTTTTACATAACACCGGTCCTTTCCTATCTTGGATATTTTCAGGTTCATCTTGTGGAGATCAATTGACCTCATGGATGAGAACAAAAGAAGATAAAAGAAATCAAGGAATGGAACTTCTCCAGACTCTTGAGAAGGAGTTTTATCACCTACAGAGCCTCTCTGAGAAGAAATGTGAGCGCTTGAATTATGAGGAAGCACTGCAGGTAGTAGAGGACCTTTGTCTAGAAGAAGGTAAGAAGAGGGAAAATTTCACTGAATTTGTTCAGCAAAACTATGGATCTGTTCTCAGAAACCGGAGAGAAGAGCTCATTGAGAGTGAGAATGATGTCATGTATGTTAGCAATAGATTTGAGTTGGATGCTATAACAAATGTACTGCAAGAAGCAGAGGCAATGAATGTTAATCAATTTGGTTATGGGGAAAATTATACTGGTGGATGTGACGTGGAATCAGGTGAAGATGATGAATGGAGAACAAAACAAATGGATAGCTACATAGAAATAGCCATTCAGAAACTGAAGGAAAACCTATCTGTGGAGGTCAGTTTGTTGACTTCACTACGTTTTTACTTGGTTAACAGAAGAAATGACCTCCTTGATGTTCTGACTTATTTTGTTATGCAGCTTAGCAAAATTGATGGACGGATCATGAGAAATGTTACAGAGATGCAGCAGTTGGAGCTCAAGCTTGAGCCTGTTTCTGCTTTTGATTATCGTGCAATATTACTGCCTCTAGTGAAGTCATACCTAAGGGTTTGTATCTTAACTTTTGAAACATTTACTGTTGCTTCACGTCATTTTTCTATCTTTATTGTTGTTATACTCTTTTAAGGCACGTTTGGAAGATTTGGCTGAGAAGGATGCGACGGAGAAGTCTGATGCTGCAAGGGAAGCATTTTTGGCCGAGCTTGCTCTTGATTCAAAGAAGGGTGTCAAGGGGGGAAGTGATGGTGCAAAACATATGGAGAAAACGAAAGATAAGAAAAAAAATAAAGAGAACAGGAAAACAAGGGATTTGAAGGTAGGATCATGAATGCTGAAATTTGTCCACATACTGGGTCACTGTCCATGACAACCATCTATTGTCTGTCTTGCAGGCTACATATGGTCATGAGCAGCTCATTCTGGACACTGCTACTCCCGAGTTAGTACATTTTCCCATATTTATCTACCTGAGATCATCTTTGCTATCTTTCGGAGACATGGCAACTTTTATAAATGCCTTTGATGTGCTTCTGCTGCAGTTCTTATTCTGCTGCGCCTGATAATGACCATGATTCCATTCTTGTTTCTACAATTAGTGCTGACTTGGAACAACTGGAAGAGGAAGTGAGACGTAAAATTGAGTTAGAAGAAGAGGAAAAAAAACTTGAAGAAACTTTGGAGTTACAACGACGAATAGAAAATGAGGCTAAACTGAAGCACCTCGCTGAGCAGCAAAAGAAATCTTCTGTGACGTATTTGGAGAAGTCAGCTGACAAATTTCTGGATTGTCAGTTAAGGGCTGTTGCTGATGGTCCAGAAGTTCATGAACATATGAGACCGCCTATGCTGGTAAGTTTCTCCTATACATGGTAGGGGATGGAATTTCTGGTGGCCAGCCATTAAGTTACTGTTGCATTTGAGAATTGGAACGCAAATGTCCAACTTAGGGAAATTTTTAGATGAGAATTAGGTATTACAGGAAGTAAGAAGTATGCCTGTGAACTTTTACTTTTTCTCAGGAGCAGTTGCCAAATATTAATGGTTACCCTAGCAATTCAGATGGTGTGCATATTGCCACATCAAATGGTTCTGCGGTACCAGACATATCTTTACTCGATTCAGTTAATCAAACTATTCATCATAAGCATCCAACAAATATCAAACAAGGTTGGCACTCTTTTTCTAAGATCTTTTAAATTGCAGTATTTGCTTTTCTTGTCCAAGTTCCTCATCACGTGCTTCTTTCTCCAGCAGATCTGTCTTGCAAAATAGCTCCTGAAAATGATTTTCAGCTGGCTGAGCAGCGGACAGGTAAAAAGGGTAAACGGCATAAAAATTCTTCCAGATTGGTTGTTGGAAAGTTTGAGGCTGTCTCATTGGATAAAGAGAACACTGATGCATATACCGACAATCAGTCAAGAGAGCAGGTTAAATTCCACAACAATCAGGATGCTAACAACGGTTAGTTTACTCTTTTCCAAGGTTTATTTCCGTGGTATATTGGTTATGTTACCTTTTATCTTGGGTTTGGCTGCAGTTGATGTATGTGCTCATACTGTAAGAAAAGCATTTAACTGTTAGTTATCTATTACTTTTTTGGTTGCTTGTTTATGGTCTATATGCTAGTGGCTCAAGAAAATGCTCAAGGATGCATAGTTGCTTGACAGCGTTCAATAAAAATATTTATTCAAAATATACTCCCTTTAATGTACGACAGGGAGGGTCTATGGGGCTTAGTAAACTGGCATTCAAGATTTAAAATGGGGGTTGTTGGAGAAAAATTGTGGATTTAGTGTTGATTGGTGGTATCTCAAGAAAACAGCATTCTGCGTGCAACAGGGTGTGGTTTTAAGGGATGTTTAGTGGCTGTTTAGGAGCTATTAACAAGCTAGAACTGATTGAGTATTCTATGGGATTTGATTATTAGTGGTGTTTGCCAAAGGAGTCAGGTGGGCCTGTCCAGAAAACTGATGAAAACAGAGTAGACGTTATGATGAAGGAAGATACCAGGCTTCATACCTATGGCCCCCTGGGCATCTTGTTTAAGGTTTGATGGCATCTGATGCAAGACTGGAAGTTGACCCTGGATCACAACTTCAGAGAATCAAATACATGCATAGAATGGTTTCCTTGTGTGGCTTACTGATCTTGTCCTGTCATAGGAAGCCCTGTTAGGCTGTTGGTCACTCATTCTAGAGATGTGTTCAATGAGCTTATGCTGGACCTTATATGCATTGATGTGTATGGTATTTGAACTATAGCCTTTGAATAAAATAAGTAAATAAATAAATAAATAAATGAAGGTTTGATAGCATCCCCCAACCAAAGAAGAGGGCAGTTTGCTAGCACAATAGTGTAACCTGATCATTCTGTCCAAAATATAACAAGCCTTATCCCACTAGTTGGGGCTTGTCCAAAATAAAGTATTATGATATTTAGATAGGCCTCTTGTAACTTGAAAGATATTTGTATTCTATTCTAATGATAATGGAGATGATGGTTTGTGACCTAATGGAAGATAGTAGCCAATGAAGTCATAGGGAACACAAGCTGCTGCTTGAACAACTTGTTGAACCACAAACACTTGACCAATGCACACAGTGACGTACCTAGGTCAAATCATGAATTGACAGCGTTGTGAACTTGGATCACCAATCTAAGAACAAATTAATGAGATAAGGTTACAAGAGCCAAAAAAATGACATAGTTCTCGCACAATGTAGAGAAAACACTCTGCTAACAATTCCAATCTGAAAAATAATTGCAGTGGTATTTATAGCCAAAAGTTGCCTAATAATCCTATGAATATTCTTTCCAAAATAAATTTGCTAGGAAACTACTTATGACTCTAGCAGAATACAAAATCAAAATTTTCCTAAAATAAAATAGCTAGAAAACAGGAAACTAGTCTAGATAGTAGGAAACTAAATGAGATGGCAAGAAAATGGAAACCTAGATAATCTGACTTGGAGAGCAAGTATGTTCTAACTTTGGGAGCAAGTATTGGATCTAACTGTCTAAGCCCCTTTGGCCGTCCAAAGTAGCATTCCAATCACTACTCAAGCACTCCAACTTGCTTGGCCTCTTTACTCTTTAGTGATCCATTTCGGCTTAAAGAAGGAGGCTAAGGTTCTATTTGCAATCCTCAACGTTCGTAATAATGTTAT